ATAAAATGTTTAAATCCGCAAGGACACGTTTACTCCCTTACCACACAGCACGTTATATATAATTATTAAACCATTAATCAGTCATCACCATTGAGTACCTACTGCTGGTGTTAATTTGTCTTCTTTTGTGTAGAATGATGTATTATATATATTTTTTTAAAACACTTAATGTGTTTTAAGTGTCCTGTCATGTACATAGCACCTTAAAAATACACAACAGTCATGTTTGCTTTTGTTGTATAATCCATATAACTGCCGACTTTAATCTGCAGCCACACCCTAGTTAATGTTTTCACCCTCCTCTAGAGGCCCGTCTGTCTCATGGCTCGTCTTGTTCAACATAGTTTTACAGGCTGCGTAAACAATGGGTGTGTTCCTGTAAACCGCCCTTTCGTTTTTCTCTCTTTCCCAGTATTTGGGGCAACATGTCTAAACAGTTTAATAAAAATGTCCAGTTTAGTGCTGATACTCGGATATGGATGAATAATGAGATTCCCATCATTAAAATGTTAAGACCAGAAGGCAAGTGGAAGTCCAGTTAACTTCGACTCCATTATTTACTGCTAAAAGATGTGACTGTGTAAACTGTCACGTAAAGGAAGTTACAAACTACTATAATTTCTACCGACTAGCTCAATCCCTGTAAACCTTTCCTCACCTGTAGGAGATAATTTACTTACTGAAGGTTGCAAAGTTAATTTGTATCTTTTGTTCAAGGCTTGAACATCACTCCTCTCATGTTTGCAATGCATCTTGGTCCCTCAAAGACAGCAATGTAATACTAGACACTAGACATTAATCACATTTTCTATTATTTAAAGATTTCTCTTTCTGAACCAGATCATTTTATGATGCTCAACAAGTGCTAACCAAAACAATACTTCTAAAAAAATATGTTACAAATTCCTTAATGAATCTACTCCATCAGTGCTGTACCTGCAAGGTTCTTGGCTGGCAGAGAGAACACTGTGAGCTCCTGTCCATTGCACAGAGCAAGAACCTTCACCTGCTCACAATCTCTGACGCACTGAGTGGAAAGTGACAAGATGGATCCAGGAACAACTAGAGAGGAAAATGAAATGAGAAAAAGGATGCGGGTTAGCTCACTCCCTAATATTTAAACATAATATTACCAAATCCAATGTTCCTGTTCAAGTGTGTTTGAACATACAGGACAGCATTAACATGTCAAATGATTAAATCAAGAGTATCTACCTGTGTATCCTATTACTGAAAATCTATTTGATGGTTTTGCATCAAGTACATAGATGTGTGAATCTGAGGCAGTGGTAAGAAGGTAGTGCCCCTCTTGATCAAAACTGCAAAAAAACACACATGCACAAACACATTCATCAAGTAAATGCACAAAAGAAGAAGCATCTGACCATTTAAACTGACATTTTTGTTTGCTTTCCTGACCAAAAGTGGAATATCAGTTACCTAACAGATAACTCCTGGTTCTACTTTGTGACTATGATGACATACTTTGTTAAAATAAACTAAGATGAAACCTTATTGCCATTGCACAGAATAAAAGTTCTAAGAGAACGAAATGTAGTTTACATTCAACCAGAAGTGCAAAACAGAAGTGCCAAACAGCAGTAAAGTGCATAGTGATCTTAAGTATAGTATAAATATATACATCTGACAGTATTTACATTACGTACACAGTATAAGGCAGTATTTGTTACAAGCAACTAAACTCATCACAGGGATGGAGGATACCTACACTAGGTGATCCACAGGAGTAGGGTACAGATGAACCTGGTGCACCAGGCGAGGCTGATGCTCCATGTTCAGGTCAATGAAGAGGACATTTCCTGAAGCTGTTCCAACAACTGCATAATGCGCAATAGGACAGCAGGCCATGCTTGTTACCTAAACAGAGACAGTTATTCTGATAAAAATAGTACCTCTTCATTCTGACAAGCTTCAGATTTTTACTATGACATTACTGATATAACATTACATAATTATATTAATGCACACAATGTTTTTCATTACTGCACAGATTTTATTCCAATTCTATTTCTACGATTTCAATCATATGCAATGTAAATAATGCTATATTTTACTATTTTTTTTTTTATGTTATTATAGTTTTCTTCAAATAGTTTTCTATCTGTGTTTTTAACTTTTGTGTTAACTCATACGAGGAATTTGACTTGGTGTTGTGGTGCACAACACCAAGTCAGTTAACCTACCTGGTAATAAACATGTTTCTGATTCTGATATGATCTAAATGGTCATGTTGTGACACTGACCTCAGTTTGAAGGGACAGAGAACCGAGGATAGTGCCATCTGCAGACCACAGCTGCAGTTCTCCAGAGTCTCTCACCGACTGAAAGCAACAAAAACATCACAGCTCAATAAAAGACATTGACCGAAATTACACTTGCAATCACAACAAGGCACTTCTTGAGCAACACAAAGGTTTTACCACACAAATTTTCTCGCCAGTGTGTGACAAATGCGCAGCCACAAAGTTTCCGCAGAGAACATCCAGGACCTTCACAAAGTTGTCAGACTCAGTTGGGTTCAATACATATATTTGTCCCTGAAAGACAAAAACATTGTCATGTTCCCAGTAGTTATTTTTAATATATCTAATGTAAAATGCCATTATAAGGTGAGTAAGTATCTATATGTGCAATCATTTACACTGTGGTACATGTAAGTGCTTACTGTATTAGAAGATAAAAGTAATATCTCATGGTCAGGAGAGTACATCACAGTTGTGACAGGTCCTTCTAATTGCCACGTATGTGTGATGTCGATTTGAGACCCTTTGATTTGCAGACAGTGCACAACACTCTCCTGTAAAACATAAGCATTTTACATTGGAGTAACTGCAAATTCATGATGCCTGAAATTAGAAATCAGATCACCAATTGGCAGAAGATTTCATTATTATATGTCATTACATATTTAATCATCAGTCACCAGATGTAAATGAGAGAATTGTACCTTTCCGACAGCAATCAAACCATTCTTGTCAAGGGTTAAACCTTGAAAGTTGCCATGTCTCAGTTCAGGTGTGGCATCAGCAGCTGTAAAGAACATATAAAGATGTAAATTGTGTTTTCTATTGCCAAATAAATTGGTTAAGTCTCTCTTTTGAATTTCTTCTACATCCAAGTGTCGTAAGTGTGTGTGTTTGTTTACTTGTGGGGTTGAAGAGGACTGAGGCAGAGAGGCTGTCTGGGTCAACAAGGAGCAGGAAGCTTTCATCACAGCCTACATAAAGCTCTGATGTGGCTGTCCAGCAGATGGCAGTAGGAGTGACTCTGGCTTTGGTGCACAGTTTAGTCTGTGTAAACACATGTGGAGTTGGGTAAAAGTTTAAATGTAGTCTTTGTTTTTTGTTTCTGAAAACAAAATAGTTTTTCCATCAAGTAGAATTTTTAAATCTAAGAATTACAGCTGTAATACCAACAAAAACATTAATTGGTGAGAGTGTACTTCTTTGGTCGATAGGTGTATTAATGACAGGACAGTACCACAATGCTTTCTGCTTTGTTTCCCTTGAGCCCTGAGATGGCTGTTGGAGGCATCTCCAGACCAAAATAGGGCAGTTTGTCACTGACAGTATGAGAGGGGGGCACCAATCTCTCAACAAAGGAACCATCATTTGCTGGAAGCTCTATCACACTGCAATGCAAAAAAAGTGTGATAAACATACATATTATTGTATGACACTATATTATGTAGGTGCTGCTTGTGTTTTTCAGTCCACATTGAACTCGCTGCTTATGGTACGAACAGTAAAAATGCAGATAATGTATGTTAATTTATCAGTTAAATCAATTTTACATCAAAAATGTAAAGAAAATCTCGTTAACATATATCAATTTGGATTTTTGAATACTTGCTTGTACAGCTAAGTCTGCTTTACCTTGGTTTGAGGACATGAAAGCTGTCACTCTTCTCAATATTCCAGACTGTGAGGGTTGTAGTGCCCAAAGCACAAAGCTGGAGCCAATTCAGGGGGTTGAAGACCAAAGAAATGACATCCTGCCCAGCTTGTGGTTGTGTACAAAGTGGCTCAGCAATTTCCCAGTTCCTGGATCACAGTCATGATTACAGTAACAGAGCTGCTTAGCCTAAATAAACATAACGGAAAATATGAAGTGCACAATATAAAGAGTATTTATTAGCTCACCACACTGTTATGGTGTAGTCTGGAAAAGAGGAACAGCATCCCAAATAAGGACCGCTTTCACTTAATGTCAGAGATTTGTAGTCAGTTTGTGCAGCTCCTAGGAGAAAAATCATTGGGAATTATTTAGTGTTTATCTGAAACATATACATGTATTATTGATGCACAAACAAACAAACAAACATAACGCAATACTGTTGGTAAAATAATGTGATCTTAACTGGAGGGGAAATTCTTACCTTTTAATTCATTCTTCAACTGTAACTCTGGAAAAGAGTACACAAATATAGATGGGGATAGCTTTTCTTCTGAGAAAGCAAAAGTTCCATTTTTGCTATTAGCTGTCAAGGCACCAATGCCTCTGCCAGGACTCTGAAGCACACTTTGCTTTTTTGTCTCCAGGTTGAGGAAACAAATATGACTCCCACATGTATAACATACTGTCTTGTTGTCGACAAACTCGATACATTTGTTTGTAAAACCTTGTATCCACCTGTAGGGAGCAACACAGCCAGGTATTAGCTAGCATACATACGGGGGATAGCTCTTATATATCTGTGACCCGTATGTACGCTAATGCGTGAGGCACAAACTAGAAAAGAGTGAATTAACAGTGAATATGCGACAGAGAAGAAATACGTAGATTTAAATTTGAAGTGGTGACATACCTGACATCTAAACTTCCAATGTCATCCATTTTAATACAGAAATAACATGACAGAGTTAAATTAAACTTGTCTCCCCACAGATACAACCGACAAAAGAAAGAGTGAGTCTTTGCGTATCCCTGGCAACCAAAAAACTCTTAACGCTATTGGCTGAAACGTTATCGGCGCGCCCATACCGGAAGTACAGGAAACATTAAATAATACAGCCACATCACCCTTGACGAGTACACTCGTCTTTTACACACCTTTTCTGACGGTACTGAGGTTACCAGCTGCAGTGCAAACATGTCTACTGAAAAGAGTTTCGCCAAAGGTAAGATGAACAGCAATTATTCGGATAACTGACGGAACAAGTCATATTTTGTTAGCGATCTTTACTATCATTACCAAAACGCGTGTTAATTTTCACTTCCTTTAAAATGTCATATTTTCAACTGCATGCATTGCTAAATATCAGTCGTAAGTAACCGAGTACAATTACTCAAGTACTCCAATTAAGACGTGCACTGTACTTTTTTGCTATTTTGTAAATCTACTGTTGCAGTAAATCGTGCACTTTTACTGCACTACATTTATTTTATATTTAAACTCTCTTTGCGGATTTTTACATCCCGCCAGACGTTTGAGATCCCTTTCTTTACCTCCTCTCTGTGTAGACGGGCCGTAATGCTGTCATGCTTCAAAACTTGACAAGCAATAATGCTGTCATGCTTCAAAACTTGACAAGCAAGATGCGAAATGTCTGCAGAGTCATTATGACTATGCATTATACAATCTGATCATCTGAGCCCATAAAGCCGACAGTAGCTGTCAGGAATGCTTTACAAATGACAAAGTCCTTTCATTGAATTGTGTAATTCTTAATTGAAGACTGTATTATTACAGCGTATATATTGACTCTGTGATAATAAATCAAATGTCAGGAGTTCTTTGCCACTGATAGTCCCTCATACATGTGCCTATAAAAGGCCAAAAGGAAAAAGTGTATACAGACCAGTCTTACATTGGTGAAAGGAGTAAATATGTGAGATTCAATATTTAAAGTTGAAGTAGCAATACTAATATATAAAAATAATCTACTACTTTCAAAAAGAACAAAGGTATTATCAGGCATGTTTGCTTAGAGTATCAAAAGTAAGGCGACCATGGATGAAGCATTTTAATGTCTTTTAATTCGTAAGTATGTGTCGCGGGGTGGTGGGTTTGAAAATTATATTGGATCTTTAAAAAAAGGGGGGAAATAACCGACACCACCTGGGGCCTTGCACCCCAGGACATAGACACAACAAGACAATGCAATAAATCAGGACACAGGTTCGAGAACTGAGGGGCATGTTTCAAAATAAAGTAATTTTTATTAAATGTAATCCAAAAAAAAGGAAACTCAGGAATTGGTGCTGCAAGATAAAAATCATTGATTAGAAACAAGAAATATTCAGTTAAAATGATCTTTATTCCACAAATGGATTCAAAATTAGTAGTGGAATGAGGCCAGTTAACGGGGTGTATAGGCTACTGCAAAACAAGCTAAACTAATCAAAACAAACTAAAGAAAATATAATAAACAATAACAAAAACAAAAACAGTGTTAGACAAAAACAGGCAGAACCTGAATTGTTATACAAGAGGTTTTGTAACCCTACTGAGCTTCAGGACAAGAAGCAGCAAGTGAGCGTAAAATACTGGCAGAACTGAGACCAATGTATCCATATAATAACTTATGCAGCCTACCTGTACCAGTGACCATGACCAAAGAGCCACCAGGTCCCTTTTATACTCTGCTCTAATGAGGGGAGTGTTTGGGGAGGAGTCGGGCCTTGAGCTGCATTCAAGAGAATGACCCACTACATATGCATTATACGTTATAAAAGGATTATTTGTGTGGTAGGTAGAAACAAAGAAACGTGTTACTGTAGCTATAAGATGAATCAGAGTATAAAGCACTTTGAGGTTGAAGTGCAAAGTACCATGAAATGGATACGTAAATGAAGTGTATGTAGGCCACAATAATTTAAGTACAAGACGGTAACAGAAGGTCAGATTCAATGTTAACTTTTACATCATAATATAAATGGTAGAATACATAAATGAACATGTTTCCCTAAGCACTTTGTCATGTTCTTGTTCTCACAGGAAGTGCTGCACCTGGTCCAGTCCCGGATGGCAAAATCAGACTTTACAGCATGAGATTCTGCCCTTTCGCCCAAAGGACCAGATTAGTGCTGGCTGCCAAAGGGATCAAGTAAAAAAACATTTTATGATGCTTTACTTTACATTTCCATAGATCTATAGATTGCCATTGTATTAAAATAAATACCTGTAATCCAAGCTTTTGATTAAAAATGCAAACACCTGTTTTCCCTCTCAGGCATGAAACCATGAACATCAACCTGAAGGACAAACCTGAGTGGTTTCTTAAGAAGAATCCTCTCGGGCTAGTCCCAACCCTGGAGAACCCTGCTGGGGAGGTGGTATATGATTCTCCCATCACCTGCGAGTACCTGGAGGAAGTTTACCCTGAGAAGAAGCTGCTTCCTCCCTCTCCTTTTGGTAAAGCCCAACAGAAGATGATGCTGGAGCATTTTTCCAAGGTATCTTATATAAGGACTTCTTAATCCTGTTCTTTTTTTTAGTGTACATGTCTACTGTTAGGACCATGAGATAGTAGAATAATGCTTTTGTTTTCTACAGGTAGTACCTTACTTCTACAAGATCCCAATGGGGAGAAAGAAGGGCGAGGATGTCTCTGCACTGGAAGGAGAACTGAAAGAGAAGTTTGCCAAATTAAATGAGGTAGGTTGAAAAGTTGAGTGCTTCTTTACGCATTCACCAGACATGTGATGTGGTAGATTGTCACAAGGAAATAGTTTGAGCACAACTGATTCTTTATGGATCGTAAATAACCGTCAAAGATAATGAGTGAGTTCACCCAAGTGTCTGTCTTCGATGTCTGTACCTGGCTAGTTTTCAGTGTTTTACAACATAAACATAATGGTGTTTTTTCAGGACCTAGTTAACAAGAAGACCGGGTTCTTTTGTGGTGACTCCATCACAATGATCGACTACATGATGTGGCCGTGGTTTGAGAGGCTGGAGCTTATGGAACTCAAACAGTAAGTAACAACTTCTCAGGACATACAAAAATAAATACATTTTATTTGTGGAAGCATTCCGAAAACATTCAAGGTAACCATAGAGAAGAGCAAACTGTTCAAATATGAGGTAAAGTCCAGAAGTAAGACTTGAAGAGCAGGGAATCTCACCTGAACAGATTATATACATCTTGTGTTTTATATGTTGTGATTTAATTACTTATTCAATTCCCGTTGTCATTTCAGCTGCCTTGGTGGCACACCTGAGTTGAAGAAGTGGACAGAGCGCATGTCAGAGGACACGGCGGTCAAAGCCTGCATGCACAGTGCAGAAACCTACAAGGCCTTCTACAAGACTTACCAGGAGGGGAAGCCGGACTACGACTACGGCCTGTAGAACAGAAGTGATCAAATCTAAAACCGTCCCTTTTTGTATTCATATCCAGGTTTGGGATCATGTCTGTGTTTACAACTTTGTCATAGGAAAATATTTTGCAGGAGATATCATGATGAGTTAACATTAAATGGATACAGGAATTGTGTTTATTGGAAATAAGTCTTGATTTGTTATAAAATAAATATTAAACATAAACCTTAATGAGGTACGGAAAGGAAAATATGACTCAATGTTTTTTCAATAATGTGGCACTTTTTTTTGTAATAAAAAATGTAGATGATATGACCAGTCTGTGTGATACACTAATAAACAAAAACGAAATCATGTTTTTACTCATTGCTTATCAAGGTTGTCCGATTTAATAAATTGACAACACAGTAGAAATGTAATAGTCACAACAATATAACAAACTTTGCTTTTATAATAAACAATAAAAAAACATTGAACATCACAAAATGTAATAGCTGCCATGAGATTGAAATTGATATAAATGAAAAAAAAACAGCTTTACTGTTAGGAAAAAGATTCCCTGGTTAGACCGGCATATTATCAGAGGTATTTCTGTAAAATGTTACCCCAACAAAAACAGCTATTTGGGTATTTTTTGTTAAATGATGATAATTTAAAGCAGAGGGATATCTACTGAAAATCTCTCATCCAGGTTACATCTGTAAAACAAGCAATATGAATTAAGTGGGGCTGCATGATTTGTAAAAAATAACAACTGACTGATATTGCAATTGCGATATGATTAAAAAAATTGGAGGAATTGTTATTTTTAAATCATAGTTATCAATATTCATTGGAAAGTATATTGATTGTATAGACGATCCATACCTAACAATGTTTTGGTAAGACTGTAGAGTAGGATTTGTTGGCTGGGATATCTCTTACAGCTGCACAATACTTTATTCAAAGTTGTATACCAACACGTATTTAGAAAAATACTGTGCTTCCTGCAATTTGAATATTGCACTCGTCTATACTTTGCATTTTGATATAATTTCGAATAATTGTGCAGCCCTACCACCTTTAAGCTTCAGAAGCGATCCTGCAGACTTAATTTAACAAGGCAACAGCTCAAGTCACCACATGATTTCAAGAGAACTGGTGTATGTCCACCTTTTCATTTGTGTACTCGTCTGGTGTAACTATTTATAACATTGTTCTTAGTAACATTGAAATGATATTTAAAGATCAGTTGGTGGTTTAGTTTTGAAGAAACCCTGGCCTAAGCTCACAAACTTTCCTCTAGCCTGTGGTGTAAACCTCCATTTGATAAGGGCGGTGTGAACTCCTGTATGAGCACAGGTGCATTTCTCAACATCTCTTTGAAATGCCTGACTGTTGCGGCATAAAGCTCCCTCTGCAAAAATAAAGAACGGAACAGATTGATGGGCTCTGCTTTGCTAAGAACCTCAGGCAGCTGCACTTCTTCCGGCACTTGACTGTTCCCAATCAGAGCGTGATGAAGTCTCTTCTCATGTAGGCTCCTCTGCAAGAAGCTGAGCACATCCCGAAGCCTTTGCTCAGTGTCCTCAATGCCCCACGCAGAGGGCCTTTTACTCAGCAACAAGTGCAACAGGGCAGTCTTGAGGTGGTAGTTAGTGAGGGCACTTTTCCCCGTGAGTACCGTTTGCTTTCTGTGTAGAAAAGTCACAATCTGAAGGCAGTGTAAATGACAGGAGTTTTGTGGAAGGCGTTGAGCAAAATGTTTCAGCAATCTCCTCTCGTAGACAGCAAGCGAGAGGGTCCAGTAAGGGTCGGGAGAGCTGGCATAATCTGATGGAAAGTGTGGGACAAAATAAGCATCCGTACCTTCCAGCTGAACAACGGGTATAATGTTCATTACGATGACTTTCCACGAACGGAATCGGATCTTGAGTGCACCGGCTGCATCCAGGTGGCCAAATGTAACCTCAAAGTCGTATTTGTGAGAGATGCGGCCCCACGCTTTGGTTAAAGAGATCTGAAACCACTTCATGACTTGATCTTTGGTTAACAAATGAGTGTTCCTGGAGCACAGCAGTTCCTCAGGACTATGTTCCACTTGGACTGTGTCTTCCCCCCCATGCAACAGACAGAGCATGTCCTCCCCCAGGTTAGCAGAGCCACATAGACATCCCTCCTTGTCCTCCCGAAAGCCGTCCACTTTTATCTTACCACAGCCCTGCATGTCTGGAGGCATGTCACAGGAGGGGCTGCACCACAAGTCAAACTGGAAGGAGTACGGATCTGGAGGTGAGAAAGGCACTATAAGGTCGCACGTCAGTGGCTTGCACACCTTCCAAGACTCAAACATGCTTCCAATCCCGACAAAGTCCCCAACTTCCATGTCTGCCTCCCCGTCACAGACACTCCTGAGCGACTCAAGCAAGTCATCGGTAAAACCCTCGACGAATTCCCTCACTCTCCAGTTTTCATGAGACGAAGTGTAGTTGGATTTGTCGCAGAAGTTGCTCAGGACAACCTTATCCAGCACCATCGTCCTGGGGGTGATGGCACCACTCTCTGATAATAGGTCTTCATCCTCAACCGGACGTATTTCTGTGTCAGAAAGATTCACCCTGCACATCTCAATCGTGAAGAAAATGACGAAAGACACGGTGCTCCACAAGTACCAACTGTATCCTTCCTCTGAGCTGGATTGTTCTTCCTGCTTTGAGTCCAACTGTGAAAGCTCATTCTCCAGCCTTGCCTGTTCCAGTTCCAGCCTCTCCTGGTGCTCCCGCATTCGAGCGATCACCTCATCTTCCTGCTCTGGAGGTGTGGTGTTCTCTTGGGGAAAGAGCAAGGGGTGGTTTAATATGGCAGCAGTCACCACCATACACACTCGTGCAATGGCCCCCTGCATCTTCAGCTTGTTTCTAACAAACACACATTGAAGCACATCGCAGACGTCTGGGCAGATGTAGCTCAGATCCTGAAACAAACACAGAAACAGTTGGATTTTATTGAGAAGACAAGTGGATTGAAGACAAATGAAAATGTTAGCATGCTGAATAAAACATAAAGAACACGATATATGAAAAAACAATCCAGCTATTTATGTAAAACACTCCATTGGGAAGCATAGATTGACACACCTCTAAATATAGAGGCAGTGGGCTGAGTCACGCACTCGTCCAGTATCAGAGTGTGAAACATGGGAGGAAAGAACATCGGGCCCTTTTTGTTGCCCTTCTCTGATAACCCTATTTTGTAACTAACTTTGTGCCTGTTAGCATTTACATCCTGTTAACATTTTGTCCCAGCAAAAGAAGAACAACACCCTCTTCCTGAAAAATATCCCCAAAAGACTATATATTACATATGGCTTATAAGTGAAACATTGTAGGGAACACTCGCCTTGACGTTATTATGTTCCTTCCTGAACGTCATCAAATAAGCAAGAAGTAATGCAATGAACTGTACAGAACAGGAAATTACACAAGTCTCTTGCTTAGGTTCCAAGCTCTTGGTAAAAGTTAAAGAGACAACTGCACACTGCTCTGTTAAGGACACACTGAATTCGTTTTTACTATCATTACAGTATAATCTTAAAGTACTACATATAGTGCCCTCAAATGGGACTTCTAATAAGAAAAACAAGAAAAGGGAACATCATAATCTCACTGTACGATCATAAGATTATGAGCTGTTCTGTCAGAGTTCACATTTAAAATGACAGCAGAAGTGGCAACGTGTGTGTGTGTGTGTGTGTGTGTGTGTGTGTGTGTGTGTGTGTGTGTGTGTGTGTGTGTGTGTGTGTGTGTGTGTGTGTGTGTGTGTGTGTGTGTGTGTGTGTGTGTGTGTGTGTGTGTTCACAGAGCGCAGGAAACTTCCCATGACTAACTCACTGGCTGTTCTCCAACACCAACAGGGCTCAGTCCATCCAAACAAACATTAATCGAGACAGAGAGAGGACTGTACTGCATTTAATAAACAAATTATTTGAGAGGTATTTATTACAGAACATGTAGGCAATATAAAGCCTGAATCCTTAGCTAGTTCTTTGTTTCTGAGTTGAATACTCTTACTACTATATAAAAATAGTCTGGTTAAAGTAAAAAAAAAGTACAAGATTTGCCAACAAAATGTAGTGGAGTAAAAGTATCAATTATCATCATGTGAAAGTTCTCAAGTAGGCCTAAAGTACAATTACCTTAATTGTCTATAGCCTAGTACTTGAGTAAATGTACTTAGTAACATTCCACCACTGGTAAATGTACTTCTTTACTCTCCACTGCGGCTTTGTAGCTACTTGAAGAACATATAGAACTTCTACAGTATTACCCCTGCTGAGTAAGCAGCCCTGCTTTAGGCTGCTTAGTACTAAGCAGCCTAACTGTAACGTGTTTCCATCACACACTATGACGTGTCTGTGTACTTGTACAGTTATTGCACAGTGCCAAAGGTTACCTCCTTGGTTGTCTTAGCAACACAATAGTGACTGAGCTCGGCTCATCATGGAAACGTCGCGGCAAAATAAATAAAACACCAGAAACATGAGTCACTTTAAAGCTAAACAAACAGTACTCTGTGTAACGATGTGTAAAGATTTGACGACCACGATAAAGTCAAGTTTCCCTTTTAGCAAACATACGCAACAGGCATCATCTGGGGGACTTAATTGCACGCTTGAACACACACGACACTTTGTCGTTGTACCGTTTAGTAAAACATTAAGAATACTACTATGGTGTCGAAATAGTTGATTCAAACCTACCTTTATGCCGTTTTCCCGTTACGTCCATCCTGATAAACGTATGTTGGGCTCTCCGGTTTGCGCATCCTCACCAAACTCATAAGGGAGGGAAGCGAGGGAAACCGTTACTCATTTCCTGACTTTGTGCTCCACCCATAAAGGGAGACACCGCCCAGCTTCCTCTCCTCAACCAAAATAGCCATCTTAAACTGAGAGGAGGGTGTTGTGCCTGAACATTTCCATTTATTACCTGGTATTATCATATTATTTTCTGAGCTTTTGAAATGTCAAGATGTCTATTTACTTCATCGCATAGTGAACTAATACAACCTTTTTTCACTGTTGCCTGATTTATTTGGATGAAATTATGCATCTATTACTTGGAATTTGTCAGATCAATTCTTTATCAAAGTAACCATTTGAAGCCAAGCCAGTGTTGTAAAGAAACTAAGCAGGCTACATTTACTCATGTACAATTTTGACCTATTTGTACTTTACATGAGAGTACCTCCATTTTCTGCAACTTTGTACTTGTACCTACAATTCAGAGGTAAATATTTTTACTTTTACTCCATGACATGTACTTTAAACCTTCAGTTACTTTGCAGATATGGATTAATGATATAAAATGTGACATTAGTTACACCTGGATTGATTTCACAAGCTACCCAGCAATAAATAAACTAATTAAAATGAGTTCCACGTTTACCAGCTATGATAAACACATTAATACCTCCATCATTATAATAAATACATGCGATTTGCACAGTATATGATTGTGAAATGGGGCAATTTGCATAGTAAGAACTTTGAGTACAATTTTTAATGCAGGACTTTTACTTGTAACAGAGTATTCCTACACTCTAGTTCAAGACTTAGTTCCCATAAAATAATACTTATTGGTAGACATTTAGACACAGGAACATGGATGTGGGTACAGGAGAGGAAAAGAGATATGAGAATAATCAGGATTTAGCACACTTTAGCACAAATTACTTAATAATAATAATAATAAAACAATTGTGGGAAGCTGTGTTTTTATATTGAGAGAGTGCAATAGTGGATATAAGATGTACTGTGGTATTGCAGTTTTAAATTAGTTAGAGACAGTTTCTACAAAAAATCTATTATAATATCTCAAATAGCCATGTCATAATTTCACAACATATTACAAACCAAAATTGATGTAACACTTTGATAATAAAACTTGGATTGAGTTTTATTGCACAATATACACAAGCTGCTTGACCAACATCATTACATCAACACTGACAGAGAGGCACAATTCTGAGTAGGCAAAGTAATCTTTTTTGAACAATTTCATACCAACAACTGCTAATATTAGTGGTGCAAGATCTCTTAACTCTATATTGAATAAACTACTTATCATATATTATGAATGTTCCCCTGTAATACCATGTTGCTCACAGGATTCCTCGAAACTTTAAAGGCAAGGCAAGGCAAACCCAAAGTGCTTTACAAAATAATATAAAAGACATTTAAGAACAAATACAGTGGAAGCACATTATACAAAGGCATTTAAAAACAGGCATTTAAAAAGCAAAGATAATAAAATCAACACAACAGGTATAAAATACATACAAAAAGCCATACTGCAGTTTGAATCCTCATCCAAATGCAGCCTCAAAAAGATACATTTTCCATCTAGATTTAAAAGTATCAACAGTTGCAGCTGACCTGCAGGATTCAGGCCGTTTGTTCCAGATTTTTGCAGGAAATCGTTAATATAATTTGGTCCTAAAACATTTAGTGCTTTAAAACCAGCAATGCTGTTGGAATAATATCGAGGCTGCAGGAGGAGGATTTCAGATGTTGAATAATGTCCTCCAGGTCTTTATAATTTATCAGACGGAATTGTGTCATGATGTCTGAATTGACTTTAGGTGGACACAGGGACAAAACATTTGCTGTACCTGGTACAGAGGCACTGACTGCTTGTCTGATTTTCATAATTTTGTTCGTGAAGAAGGAGGCAAATTCATTGCAGGCCCTGGTGGATAGAAATTCAGAGGCTACTGACACTGGGGGGTTTGTTAGTCTGTTGACGGTTGCAAACAGGGCGTGTGAGTTGTTTTTATTTTTAGTAATGATGTCAGACAAGAAAGACTGTCGTGCCTTTTTTATTTCCTGATTATAGATGCATAGTCTCTCTTTATATCTTTCCAAGTGAACTTGGAGATTTGTTTTTCTCCACCTGCGTTCAGCTTTTCTACACTCTGTTTTTGCCGTTCTCACGGTCATGGCTTTTCTCCATGGAGATATTTTTTTGCCAGATACTTCCTTTATTTAAATTCACCTTTTAAAAAGTTCAACTAGAGACAGAAAGACTCGGGTTAGGAGGACACATACACTCTTACATCATGTAAACATCTACACTGATACAAAAAAAATTCCAACGCTTTAAATATTTAAAATGCTTACAAAAAACAAATTCAAGCAGAAGAATTTAATTTAGCAACCACCCTCTCTGCTATTCGTCTTTTGCCACTATTTTTCAGGGTTTGGATCAAGGTAGTTTGGGCCTGACTGCCCTTCTCCTGCACAAACTCCTGTAGAAGTTCGAGTGTCTGCTCCCGAGCGTTACCAACGTGGTTCAGCTTACAATTCTCAATAGTAGTGTCTCGCATACCGCTGCGTGTTGCAACATCCTTCATATCCGTCCATCCAATTATTTCTGCAATGTCTGGCAGGTTGCGCTCAAGAAGTGGTTCTAACGTGAAACAAAGGAAAAGGCACTTATTATAACAAATCACAACACACATCATCACAACTTTATTGAAATTGTATGGGCATTTTGATTTAAAGATTTTAAAGATTTAAAAGTATCAAAGTAAAACGGAAATCAAGCACAATCCATACTGCAATCCAACCTGATTTCAGACCTCTCCAGTTACTCAGATAAGTCTGGTTTTGTACTAGTACACAGTGGTTTAAAAAAAACACCCGTGGCAATCAGAGCTGCAGGATTGTGCAAGAGCCATAACAAATAATACAACTATAAAAAACGCAACAGGTAAGTTACCAAAGAAATGGCAAAATAGCGTATATGAGATTTACAGGTTTTAGTTATTCGACCTACAGATTATACCAAGTGGGAATACATTGACGTATCACTTCATTAGCCATGACAACTAATACATTGCACTGCTTCCTGGATTTTAACACAATATCCGAGTGAATAATGATCAATGTCAGTCCAGTCTGATTATCCATCAAGCAGTTATTTCTTCTAACAAACTCAAAACATAGAGAAATAGCAATTATATCTCTAATATTGTTGTAATATTACGTTTTTCTTACTTTGAAGGGACGGAATCTCCTGAGAAACAGAAGAAGAATGAATGTTAAGAAACAAATTACAACTCTGATAAAATAACAAACCGATACAACTACAACTACAGATTTCAAATATTTCTATGTCACAATAGTACAGACACAAAACAAGCACACTAACATGGACACCAAAGGTTTCAGAAAACTAACCTGCACCTCCTACAGAAAGGGGCAGCTTTGCCAATATTAGAAAAGAGACAGAAAATTGTTCATCATACGTGCTGCACAGGTGTGCTGAGGTGAGTTAAAACAGGACAAAGCCAAAACATCTCATGAATGGACCAAAAGAGATCACATTGATGAATAGCTTACCAAATCATTTCTTCCTTCCTCTGGGGTATTATTTCCTTTCAATTGTGAGAGAAATAATTTTAAAAAACAAGACACATTGTTAAAAAGATACGAAAGCAGCAATTCAATCTGAAGCTTTCTTGATTTAAATTTGAAGTGCACTGGACTTAAAGACTCAAAACAATTATACAGAATAGAACATATTAAAGCAAATTAAGAAGGATATATTGTATCCAGTTATGATGGACTTGAAACAAGGCTAGGATTTGAACTGGTGTGCTTGAAAAGTGAAAAAAGAAAAGAAGAAAAGCCCTTCTGTCAAGCACTTTGACAATGTTTAATGTTATGCTGCTGATATACAAATGTAAAATAAATGTAAGAAATAGAATGTGAACATTAGTATTATTCCTTTGCTTTCCTATTTTTATTGAGAAACACACTGTTTTAGTGCCCTCTGCTGGTCTTTACATATAGTGGTAAAGTAGTAGAAATACTCACGGTTGCGTTTTCTTATCCAGAAGAAGAATGCAAGAAGTCCAATAACAATTATTAAAACAAATAAGAGAGTTAGGCCAACTATCAACCCAGTTGTATTCCCCCCTGAAAACACAAGACACAATGAATAAATGAGATGGCAATGTAATAATTGAAGCCCCCCCTAATGCAATAATGCCTAACTATGGCATACCTTCAGTTTTCTCACTGCAGACTGTGTTATTGGTGGCTGTACAGGCTACTTTGACACCCTCAGTACATCTGGAACCAAAATAAAAGCAAGTATGAGAGACAAAAAAAAAACATTAAAGGATTATGCTGTCAGCCTATTGTGAAAAAGGAATCCACCATGTGACAGGTTTTTGCAGACATTTCTTTTAAGAAGCTATTCGTAAATCTTATAGTTTACATTACAAGGATCAGAACTTACTCTTTACAGGGGAAGCATAATATACAGGTTTCTTTACTGCCGCAAAAGTGATCCTTTTTGCATCGACACGTTGCATCTCTGGCCCGGGTGCAGGATACATCCAACTCTAGATTGGCTAACAGGACCGTAAAACACATTAGACATTAGAAAGACTTTGACATAACTTTGCATTGCTTTCAAATTGTATTTTCCCTGTGAAGTCCGGTGATGTCCCATTATGTCTTTACCATTGGGCTGTGAGCAGGATGTGCATGACTCACAGGATTCCTGGAAATTAGGGTGACTGTTGTATGTCTTTTCTCTACAGCTTGTGCATTTTCCAATTGGAGTCGTAGCAGTGCAGTGCTTCTCCACGAACGTACCTACAACATTAACACACATGAGCCAGAAGAAAATATATGCGGCCAGCTTATGATTTACACACCCACTATATGCAAACCAAGTGTAAGTTAGTATTGTAGCTTCTTTGATGGCAAAACAGACACTAATACATTGAAATGTCCTTAGCTTAGCTTAAGGTGCTGTGTCCAACAACACAAGAACTATCATTACCCATCATACAATTGTATTTAACACACATTTTAGCAAATAACTGCCTATTTAAAAAAATACAACAGAAATAGAATTATGCCAAGAAATAATGTATAGGGGCCCCAGATAGAAAAAAAGGGCCTAATCTTTGTGGTGACATCTAAACAGTTGTCCTAATACAAGAGATTAGACAACTGCATTGGTTTCCTGTATGTCAAATAATTGATTTCAAAAGACAATGCTGGTTTCTAAAGTAAAGGGCCAAAATATATTTCTTCTCAGGGATGCTTTGTGTCTAGAGTCCAAACTATCTGATACAGATTACAATAGTCATTTATTTAGATTCAAGGCAAAGGACATTTGTTTGCATTGGTCTCATTGAAGATCAAAAATTAAAATAAACAATAAGGTCATACTTCCTGCTCTTTTTCTTGAGGCCCTATAATGTGAAAGTGACCTCAAAAACATTATTGATTTATTTATTAATTCAGGATCTTAAGTAGCTCAGTAAATATTAGTCCTACATAGTCCTTCATTATATAATGAGCTATGAATCCAATTTTATCCAAGATAAACCACCTCCTTAAAAAAAGGAAACAGCTAAACCTTAACCTGATTATTATATTTCTATGAAGTGTGCATATAGCCCCTGACACTTACCAGCAGCACACAGACAACAGGTCACACCCTCGTGATCATACGTGCCATCAACACACTGCTGGGTTTCCCTTAGAGCAGATGACAAGTCCCTGGAAAAAAAACATATACATACATCTGAAAATCATTTCTTAATTTTCACATTTTCTCATAGAGCTGTTCTTAAAGCACTTTAATAAACAACATAAATAAGCGTTTGGAAAATGATGCAACGTTTCTTCCTGAAACCTCAGACTGTACGTGTTTATATCCAAGAACGTGGTCCACTTCCGTCTTTATATGTAGCCAAATTGTATTTTAACATTCGTGTTATAGGCTGTGTATATATATTGCGAAACAGTGGTTCGGTATGGTCAACTGATTTTTGTTTTCCTTTTGACCTGGATATAAGACTGCGAACCAAAAAACAAAACTGAAACTAAAGTATTACAAAACAATATGTCTATCACAATTTCAAAACGGTAGGCCTATAACTATTATAACGTTTTAATAAAATCGCTTTCCTTAAAGTTAGATTTTACGTATCTTGATCTCAGGTGTTGTGACACACATCGATCTGAACCTCTCCTTTTTATAGCGACTTAACGCCTGTACATCGGTGCATACATAAACGCCCTCTCTGTGGTAACTTACACAGATCGAAGAGAAACCAAACCGACGATGAAAAACCACGAAGGAAACTTGCTTGAATCAGCTGTCTTCATGTTGTATCTTTATAAAATGTTGTGACCAAATTAAAAAGTAAACGCCTGCTTACATTTACCGCCCTACTGCCTACTGTGAAACTATGGAGGCGGGATTCAGTGTTTGCTTTCGGTTGAAGCTTTTTGTGAAGAATATATCGAGGCTTGTATCGTTTTGGACCAGTGACGTCATCGATGACAAACGAAGCCTCGCTGCCTGTCGATACCACGTGACTGCTTTAGGAAGCGATTCCGATCGGTTGAACCGTTGAACCCTCATACCCATGGATGTATAATAAGAACCATGGAATGGAATGGAATTAAAAGACCTCAGACCCTCACTTATATAGAGGTCGGAACATGTCATAAGTATAAATAGATACAAGCATAAATAAATGTAGGAATAAAAACATGAATAAATAAATGAATAAATACAGGAATAAATATCGTAGAGTGTTTCAGTGTGCTGTGGCTCAACTAGGAAGCAGTTGACTCACGAACGCAGGGTCCCTGGTTCCACGACTGAACAATACGTCTTTTTTGTTGTTTATAAAGCTACAGCTAAATTAGATAATGTAGTTAATAAATGTATTCTTTGATATGGTTTAGCCTTTCTCAGGCTACAACATGGTTAAGTTTATGAATATTATTAAGGATTACAAATCCCTCTTTGCAATGTTTAGCAGCCTCCTTAGGCTTTTCAATCACAATCAACTGGAATAAAAACAATATTGTTAACATGAAAATATGATTTTATATTCGTTGTTTAGAGTTATTCTAAGGCTTTACTCATTGGGAACTCGGTATGAGATACAGCACACTGTTGAGATGTCCAATCTGCCTGTTTTACACACTTTGACCAACAGGGGGTTTGTGTTCAAATGAAGCCCATGATGAAACCTCATGAGATGAATCCTTTTGCGAACCAATTGGCTGGAAAGCTTCAAAGCTTCATAAGGCTTCATCTCTCCATCACTAGTTGTAACTAAGTGCAATTTCTAAGATAAGTATACTTTTAATTTATTTAAGTATTTCTATTTTATCCTACTATATATTTCTACTCGGAGGAAAATAAATGTAGGCTACTATTCCAAGGTCTTATAGTTTCTTTGTAGGTTTAGATTATTAAGACAAAATACACAACAACTAATACTATAATATAATTGTGTAGGTTAAGCTACCCAGCAATGTAACTCATGTCCTCGGTGACCTCAATAGTGCGGCTCCTGTTAAAAGGACACACGCTCTTTCCATTTTTCTTTCGAATAATTGACAATGAATGCAAAGTCAGCATTACTTATGGTTTGAAGATTGCCTTACTTTGACTGTTTTTTTTTTTTAAATGTTAGCTAAACTCAATTTGGGCCACTAGATGGTGATATTGCTCTTGGTTCAGTATGAAGGCTTGAAGGGTTTGCTACTGCTGCTGATGGTTATGACAAATGAAATGTCTGTCTTTTTACCTTATAAACTTAATTCATAAAGTCCTTGTGGAGTAATGAAGCTCCTTATATACAAGCCTTTTTCTGTTACAGGGAATCCTTTCTGTCTGTGCCACTAAAAAATGTACTTCCAACCCCCGCCCCATACGCTTAAAAAACACCATATTTGTTTGATCTCTGCCAAGTGCGGTTAACAGCAAAATTATCTTTGAAAAAAAGTGAAGAAAAACAGTATTTGGATGGGGAATTAGAATTTAACTTGAAGGAGACCTCCTGTGGGATTTGGTTGTTTTTGCAAGTGTATCAAATGTCAGCCCTTTGTAGTCGCAGTGAGTCCCAGTGTCAGATTTGTACCAGTCTGCATGCCTGCTCATTTGGCCCCAACTCCGAGAGCACACGCACGTGCGCGCACACACATATACACATACACAGGTGTTGTTTAAAAAAAATCCCGAATTCAGTTTTTTAAGTTATAGAATGGCACTATTGAAATGTTGGTCACATGGCCATTCCACCACTTTGGTCCCCAGAGAATGAAGACGATTCACTAACTTGTCTTCTGGTCCTGGTGTGAGGTTAACTTTATACGCAACTAATGCTATCACCTGGTCAGAATTTAATTTATCCTAAATGTATGAATAAATAAGTGCAAAACAAAAAATATTCTCATCCATCTCAGCTTTATGTTTGTGCTAAACAGCAAATGTAAGCATGCTAACAAGTTCAACTCAGATAGTGAAGCTGAAAAACATTATAGGCTAAACACTAACATTGTCATTGTTAACATGCTAGCATGATATAGCTCAAACTAGCACTGAGCCTAAGTACTTACACACAGCACCTACTAACAGAGCATTTAGCAAGTAGATCGTTTTTATATTGGCATTTATTTCCCTATATAATCAGAGTTTAAAGGTTACATGTTTTAGAAAGAAAAAACCTGTAACATTTAATTTATTTCTGCAGCCTTTTCACTATAATGTATTTGTATTTTGAAAGAAGAAACTGTTTGCAAAATGAGCTATAAAAACGGAATAAAAATTCCCTTGAAGGATTTTAACATAAAATGGAGATCATACAGTTCAAATCTAGGGAGTCAATCCAATGGCCTAAATCAGGATAAATAAGTGGATGAGTTGGACATGATCGACTTGGTACAAACACATTCATTTTGGTGCCTCATTCTTTTGTAAGTGGGCTAATGCTTAATGTGAAAAAAGCATACAACACTGCTTCAATAGGCCGCAATAAGAGTACGACTCTCTCTTCCACTGTGCTGTACTGCAACGAAACCAAATAACGTCAAAACCACCAGCGGAGAAGTGCAGCTCGCAGATTTCAGCTATTTGGAAAGACATTATCATCCTCGGCCAATGTGTTCCGCCTCCTATCGCCCCCAGGTCAAATGCAGAATAAGGCAGAGTAATAGCTCCACTGAGATGGAGGGGGAAACAAAATAAAATAAGACAATGTTTTTGTTGTTTGGAAGAAGCTGCTGGAAGGGACTGTGCTGCAAAGCCTCCCCCAGGGACACAGAAGAGGAGGGAGGAGACGCGTCAGGGAGGCGGAAGCTAACAGCTCTTCTGTTGGAGCAAAAGAAGCACCAGACAGAAAGAGAGGAGACTTCACTGGTTGTGATGCTCGTGCATTCTGTAGTTCATTAATGCTGTTATGCATTTTGTGTTCTAGAAATTGGGTCACAACAGTGTAAACTCTAAATACCAAGCAAGTATTTGGTAATGTTGCGACATGCATGACAGTGCCATGTTGATATATCCCCACTATAGTACACTATATTTCCTTAGGTTGAGCTTCTTCTTCATCAAGCTCAATATTTTAGGCCTACAGCTAATCTTGACATAATCCATGACCATGATTAATGTGTTTTCACATGAAACCGTGAATTTGAAATCAATATTTACTCTTTCATTGTTAAGGAGCTATGCTGCTGCGACTTTGGCCCTCTTTGACTCGGTATTAACATGTGTCTTTTGGGATATGATCTCAAATGGAGGTGCACCTTAGACACATTGAGATCTGAATCCCTCAGAGGTGGTCTGGGTTACATAAGGCCACATTCTTTTGGCAGTGTGTATGCGAGTGTGTCCTTGGCCACATTTAAGGAGCGTCTACTCAAAAGGAGTGTCTGTTCCTCAAAAAGAGAGGTGATTTACAACAGCTTGAAAGATGATGAAAGGAGTTTCCTATTTCATTCTGCAGCGCTTTTTCGAAGACTTTGAAAATGAAAAAAGCTTTCCCTCTGTTCTCTTGTTTCCCCCCACAAGCGCAGCTAAGAAGTGGAGAGGTGAAGAGAAAATAAAGCTGCCTATCATCATTGTCACTTGGTGTACACAGTTTACACACCATTCATAATTTTGTTTATTTTTAAACTAAAATCCTGACCTTTATCTATATGCAGTCTATGCTTCTGACTGTGTTTATTTGCATATAGAGCAGGACAGTGAGATTGAATCAAAAGGTGTGTTATATAAAGCTTTCCACTTGAGATCGAATCACAGAAGTCACTTGTTAAAGCTAAGTGCGAAAACACTTTTATATAAAGTGTATATAACAGGTTTCCCTTTTTTGCCTCTAATGGAATATCTAAAACATTCAGCTAAAAAGAACCAGGCTGAAGAGGCCTTCAGTGTTCAGAATCTGAAACTTTGTCATTGGATTATTCAGGCAGGAATATCTTTATTTGGGATATCATGAATGCATGAAAGAGCAAAAAACGTATGTGAACAAACTGCAACTCGTAACCTGTGTACAGTAAAGAGAGAACCGGGGGACAAACCTGGTTCTTCACACACAGAACAGGAAGAGAGTCATGCTGCTCTTCAACTACAGGAAATAACCTCTGTGCTGATGACGCAAGTCTCAGGGGAGAACTCAGCAACTTCTGCAGATCTGAAGCATACTGTACACTCCCTAACTGCACAAGCGGCAGGGCTGTGTAAAGCAGTG